TGGCCACAACTGCCAGGTATAGATCGTGTGTTGCAATTAGTCACACATTGTTGACTGGGATGAGACAAATCAACCCGGGCTCTTGCGCTTCCGTTGAGTAGCAGCTTTGCAGCTAGAGAGCGTCAAATCAGCTGTAATTGAGGAGCATTTCAAAGAGTTGTATGTTCATTTGGTCGCGCAACCGTATCCGTGTGAATCAGACTAACCTGTCGCACATCCCAGCACAATAAACAGCTCATCTGGGCAGTACAGTGACTGCAGATTGCAAGTATAATTTTGGGAATAGTCTTAGTAAGTTGACAGCAAGAGATGATTGGTCTGCATTGCCTCGGTCCGCAGTTATAGTACTCTACAGTGTGCACATTGGGATCAGTGTTCGGGAGTAAACCCCTCAAGGATTCCGGTCATGTGTCCAGGTGGTCAACAACTTCCATAAGTGAGAATATAGCTAGTATTAAAGATTACAGTCTACTTCGTTGCTACAGTTGTTGGTAGACTGTTCCAAAGGTTTGTCATTCGAGACGATAACGAATACACAGATGAAGCTCTCTGAGACACGTTCTTCTCTAACCTGAAGCTGTACCCTCATGTTCCCATTTTTTCCTGGCACTAGATGGACCAACTTGAGCACGAAGATCACATTCACCCTAATTGGTCTGTATTCTAATGCTGGCATATTTAGTAATGTATATCAACCAATCTAGAATAGATCAGATTCTTCTCCTCATCCCCATCGGCAGATCAGCATCCAAAACTGACACCCCTCTGAGCAAATTTAAGAACCTCAATATGTGCGAAAGTAAATGTGTGTGGAGAAGGAAGGACTCATTTGCAGCCCAGTGCCATTAACCTGAGGTCCTATACCTTCAGACAATCTGCATAGACGGTGATAACAAGAATGCAACTGATGTCGATTAACAGTCATATCTTGCAGCATTTCCAGCCATGCATAGAGCGACCATCCTAGAAGGTAAGACGCACCGACAGTACCCAGAGTTAGTAATCGCCTCCGTGACGTTCACTCTTACAAATGAAGGTACTCATCAATTTCGGCACGAGATTTGTTGTCCAGCACCAGCAGCGCCGGAGTGCTCAAAAGACTAGGAAAGTCCCATGTATCACTTGTGTCATAGGTCCTCCATTGTCAATTCGCAGAGCACCACAATGCCCAAATGCCAAATGACTGGATCCTTAAACGTCCATTTTCCAGGCGGTAACTGAGCGTGCCCTTTTGCTCCGTAGATAGATGATGCCGCTTGTCAATATTCACCGATATTTTGAGTTCCTCGGATATCTCACGCAAGTTGTCGATATCCTCTAACTGAGCGCTCCCATCACCCGATGGACTGCGGAAATATGGTCAACACAACATGTGCCAGGCCATCCACTAGGTTCAGGAAAGCGAAGAGGTAAATGACTGCGGACGAATACGTGATTAGAATCCACACGCGTTCCGAAAACGGGCGACAGTCAGTTACAGATTCAAGTAATCGCCAAAGATAGTAATGTGCTCATTTTGGATCCGTGACTGGCACGCTGCTGGAGGGCATTACCTGGCTGAACAACTTCGGTCTTCCGGTTATTGGGGCTATAAGTACACATTCAAGACTGCTGCCTGTGCACACCAGGCCCAATCTAATTTGAATGACAAGCTGAGTCTCAGATGCGCTACATCCGTCCACTTGTGCACTCAAATCAACGGTAACTATAAGATCTGATCTTTAAGCGCGCCATTCGAGAGTGAAAGCATTTTAAAGGCTGTCTGATGGTGTCAGACACACAGTCGTTTGGGAAATCAGCAGACAAAATAAACAAACAACGATCAACATCGGATTGTGGAATTCCTCCACAGACATAGTCAAACGAAAGAGCTAAAAAGAGGCTATCACCAACGAGCATCCAAACAATGACGGCTCCGTTTTGTGACTCAGAACGACGCCGACACCGGCACAGCCCATCCAGTGACTTCCAGATAGCGAGAGTTATGCTGCTGGAAGGGAGAATGCTGGAAAAGTTAGCGCAACGGTCTGGAACCTGAACCTTTGGTTCCCACGCACGGCACACATCACTTTCAAGAGTATAATGATTGTTCAGCTGTTACACCTTTTCAGTGCCTAGCTATCCTGCCACCCGAAAGAATCACAAGGGCTCAGATAGCGCCAGGTTACCCAAGCCTAGAGAGGGACAGTCGAGATGCTGGAGTTGGGTTCGAACGACGGACCGTCCGACCAGTGAATCCGCGCCTTAGCCAGTGAACCACTCCGAGCTCGGACCAGTATGTGAGCGAGAGCAGCATGTTGGTGTGAACATCAAAGACGAGCAGACAAACATAGGGTCGAGTATTGACGAATGATTTCGAGGTGCCCAAGGCTGTCAGCACCGACTGACTAACATATTTCACACCTAAGAAAGATGCTAGGCGAATGGGGTTACAAGTCCTAATGGATGGGCCGAAAGGGGGATATCAGAAAGGGGAGAGGAAAGAGAAGAGGCGCATGAAAGAGCGAGGGGAATGCCTCAATGGTAGCATATTTTCACATATCCACCCGCACAGTAAGGTAACCTGGCGAACAACCTGTGATGGTCTGTGTGCCGTGAGGCCATTTCTAATTGAGGAAATAATTAGTGTACATGGGATAGGAAGCTGACAAAGTGACGAGCATATACATGTANATGGTTGTACGGCAGTGAAGCATCATTGTTGAACACTGATGTCATGCTGTCGATGATGATGACCCAACTAGTAGAAGTTGGCTTTGGTGTACAGGATATTGAAAGCGGCCTCACCAGCTTTCAAGTGAGGATGTACCTTATTAGATACCCTTGTGCCAGCATATATATACATATATATATATATATATATATATATAGTAATCATTAAGCAGCAGCACCCTTTAGGTGTCCAAAAGAAGCACGACGGCTTGAATACTGCCAGACTGCCCAAGACTAGACAGGGAGAGTCGAGATGCGGAGGTCGGACTGGAATCAAGGACCTTCCGATCGGCAAATTAGCGCTCTAATTACTGAGCTGCCCCGCCCCAATTAGGGTTCTAAACCATAGTTATCGGCTCACAAGGCAATGGTAACTTCTAGGGAAATGCCAAAGTGTTAGTTTATGGACGGCAGATCGTCACACAAATAGCCCCGTCCAAGACGATGGGCTGATGATCAAATTGGCAGTCTAGAACGTGTCCAACCCAGGTTTAGCTCAAAGGTGTAATAAGGCACACAGGTCGTAGAACCAAGTTAAAATCCAGTACTCCCGATATGCCAAGTGGGTTGGAAAGTAGAGCATGCTCAAAGGATTAGGTATCGATCGATGGTTTATTTCACTTGCTTGAGCTGTGTAGGAATCTAACAACAAAATACGTGTGTCTGTATGGAACAGGCTTGGTTCGGACAATAGAAAAGACTGTTTTCTGTACATAAAACACTAGCGGGATCGAACTAGCTGTATTGCGTACAGATGCCGCAAAATCTGCCAAGAGAACCCCGAGTAGAGCTGAATTGCATAAATAACACTGGCATGAAGATGGAATCCTCAAAAAAATCATCCGGAAACATCTGATCAACAGAAATTACCTAAAGGACGGCACCACATCGGTTATAGAGTGGATGTTAATCAAGTCAGTCAAACGGAAACTTCCATGATCCGAACCTTAGCCATTTTCACAAGCGTGGTCCTGAGAAGAACTAATCTGAAGGGCAGATTGTCACTCGTCCACTCGCCCACTGTGATACCTGGTTCACTTACGATTTTTGTGCGCGCCCAATTTGTCGCACAGTTCGGTTACTGTCTCGACGGATTCAACACTGCCGGGCTACTATCCCACTGGACACAGAGAAAACCACTGACAAGATCGGTCACTTGAACAACGCAGGTATATCGTTTGAGGTTGCCCACCGTGCGTTCGCTCGGGACCTGAAGATGGTACGACGGCGAATATTCCCTACTATCGAGACTGCCATTGTCAAACTCCGCCAGCCCATTGTTTGCTCGCAAACGAACGAACACAATTAGACTTCCCTAGCCTAGATCACCGCCTGCTTCCAACAATCCAACCGGAATTAACTTCAGGATCCTTCCAGGCTCCCACGCAAACATCAGTTAGGGATAAGAAGCACTGGGAACGAGTCGCTTGCAGCGTTAATTGGTGAAGTAGCCTGTGTTCATCCTAAACCACTTTAAACATATTTCATGTGCCCAAACTATCCGGATGAATCACAGGAAGAACTGCAATACAGCCTAATGAGTCGGTTCCAGCACAATCCAGAGAGATGTGGATAGGCCCGATGACAAAAAAAGATGAAGGCAAAGCATTCACTTCACCCTAAAGAATTTGTAGAGTGGTAATGCAGATGACAAGTCCAGATACGCGATAGTGGGTTTAACCATGCAATTAAGATGAAGTCACCAGATTTGTAATATATGCTTTCAAATAACACCTGTATTTTGTATTAGTTTTATTACCAGTTACCCACAAGGTAGTTTAGGATACTAATCGCTATATTTACACATAATACAAGAATCAATCAATGTTGTAAGAGTGAGTAGTTGGGACTTATATCCGTGTCAATTTTTGTTCCAAAACCGAGGACAACAGTGAGCGCAATCGGACGCGAGATATCCTATGACCATTAGATGACACCGAAGGAGGTATTCACACAAGTGATAAGAAACATGACCAAACCAGGCCGAACTAGTGACGGCGATGCCTCCATACTTCGGGCTCCGTATTTTGGTGGGCTGGGTACGGCGAACGTGAGAAACCCGCACGTTAAGCATGCGAGGGAAATGCATTGCGAAAGATTTTTGGACTCCACATCGACAACATACCAACAGCGAACAGAGCTCAGAAGAATTCCGTTTTATCGTTTTTTTTCTGATTGCGTTGACCCACTAAGGCCTCAACTAGAGCGTTTGTATGCCACTTTCATATTCTGACATATATATATATGTATATATATATATATATATATATATATATATAAATGCTTACGTGCGGCTCAATGACTTGTGCCTTGTCGCATGCTTTCATGAGGCCCGAATATTGCGTCTCCAATTCATTGACGGCTCTAAACGCGAGGTTCATGATGAACAAATAAAAAACACACTTTTCTAGTGTTTTTGCCTTTTGTTCTTTTTTCACCACGTCGGTTTGTAGGTGTTGTTGGTGAATGACAACCTGAGAAAATGGTCGCTAGAACAGTAAGTTACCTCGTCGTATTGTGACCCGAGCAACCGTATTTCCTCGCGTTTCTGATTGAGTTCCGATTCAATATCCTCTTCCTTAGATTCAGGATTCATTTCGGCCGCATTCAATACTTTGACCCCTCTAGAGCATGTGAGTTTACACACAGACTTACTGCTCTGATGTAGAGTGTCGCAGCCTGTGTGCAGCGATTTTCGTTTCCATATCCCTCAAGCGGGCAGTTCCTGACTCTAGTTTTAAGACCAACAACTTTTCGTTAGACTGTAGTCCATGGATAACACCATTCAACTGCAACAAGATATTGGAAAGTCTAGGGCCACTTCCATTTACCTGGTCGTTGCTTTGCTTTAGCGAACGTATTTCTTCCTCAACTTCAGTCAGCTTGTCCCTCAATTCATTCTCTTCGTTCCTGATGGCAACCAAGCGTTGTTTGAATGACTCCATCGCTCAGTGCAGGGCACAAGCCATGACTTTTAAAATTCCGCTTTAATACTCGTAACGCAAAACTGATGCGATATAACGGTCCGAAAAGGTCAAAATGCTCGGTTCAGAATCAGGCTTAGGCTCAAAAGGATTCGCGGATTCGCGGATTGATACACGTTTCCCAGGTCGGTTTTATTCTTATTGTTCGGCGGCTGTCAATCACCTGAAAGACACAAGCGAAAATGGGGCGGATACATGAATAGGAATCTGGAGGTTCTTGGGCCCGGATGGAAGATTGTTCGACACCACTTTGAACACTTCATCTTTAAATGACCTTAAGGGCGTATGTGTGGAGTCTTCCGAGGGGCCTTCTAGGACTTCTTTAAAGATGAACTTTATTGTTGCAAAATCGAGATGTTCGGGGTTTAAATATTAGAGGATCTCAGCTTCACGGTGTGAAATGGTAAGAAAGTGAGGCAGATGTGCAAACCATTTGGATCGGCTGCTGGTCTCCTCTTGATGCTTAAGCCACCACACCGAAAAATTCCAAGAAGAAAACCATGGAGTAAATTGTTCCGTGACCTGAGATGTGGTGTTTACGGCATATGGGAGGAAGGCTTGGTGTTCACCTCCCAGGAATGCCATTTATGGTGTACCCAAGCTAATATATTTGCACTCATACCCAAGCTTCACCAATCGCAGGTGAGCAGATCAGCGCCCATAGACTAAAGCGTCTGATATCGAAGAAGATGCGAACGTCAATGCATGATATACTGCAGAAGCTGAACCTCATTAAAGTAAAACATTGAATAATGATAAGGCAGCTGAGATTTCACGGCGTAAGAAGGCCAAACGCAAAAAACGTTGTGGGAAAAGGACAACAGGTTCCACCGTTAAAATGAACTTTTGTACTGCACCCTATCCTACTAGCATGGACATCAATAAACTCAAGACACTGGTAAATCCAAAAGGCACTCCACCGCTTTCAACGATCAACCAAAAGCTAGATGACAATCAGTTAGCGTTCTAAGGGCGCAGACGACAAAATGCTCACTTCATGAGTTAATGCTGTTTTGTTTCGTACACCCGAATCCACCAAATCATTATGATGACAACATACTTTCCTTGAGGACATTTTCTAGCAAATGATTGACCTTGCTGAGACTATCATATGCTTGATCATAGTCAGTAAATAAAAGGGATCTGAAGACACCTTGGTAGCTAACTGTTTCACCAAAGAATATCAAGTGAGTCTTGTGACTTTTGTCACGATTTTTTCAGACAAGACGTCCGCCTGCGTCTACGCTTCCAAGTCTTCCACCAGAAAGCTAAGGAAAACGACAAGCTACCACCACGCTCCTCAAACATCTATAGCCTGACGCGAACAACTACGATGTGTTTGGAGATTTGCAGGAAGTTGGAAGATGCCTGGCATGAAAGTCGTGAAGTTACGTGCACAAAATAGGCAGGAGCTATTTCAGGTAAATAGAAATGTGTTCATCCTGTTTAATAAACAAGCTAGATTTTAAACCACGAGTTCTGATAGCTATCCTGGTATCACTGGAAGTTCAGACACGTTTGCGGGGGTAATCAGCACTGCGAGGTCAACCTACACGGGTACGGGTTGTTCTAGTATGGCTGAAGCCTGTATCTGCCAGCTGTCTTCAGAATAGCGCCGCTGTAAATACCAAAATGTACTTCCGGAACACACAAACATGGAAACGTAATAGACTGCACATTTCAGAAGAGTTGCAAATGAGTACGGTAGCTTATTTTTGGTGGCCTTATCATACGGAATATGAATCGATGCTGAGGAGTAGCCGCTGTATAGTGCAAAACAACCCATAATAGCAAAATATTCATCGAACTATTTGATGCTTTAGGATCTTGGTGTACAAAACTGCTAGGCTTTAGCATTTTTTTCGGTGCTTTGCTGCCATGCCACGCCAGGAAGCACGAGGGTCGAGGTGCTGCCAGGTCGTCTACGCCTAGACAAGTCGGTCTTGCACTACGGACCTCCCGCTCCGACCTTTTCACTGAAACACTCGATGGCATTCCCCAAATGCAAGTGAACGAATCCCTGAGTAACTGTGACATTCCAGGTGCATGACTTGCCCGTCGTGTTACTAGCAGCATGTGAAATGAACACAATCATACATGGCATGAAACTTTCGAAGTCCCAAAGATGGTCGAAACCGTGGACTGGTCAGTACCTTGGACGACTGACTTCAATTCATCCTGGCCTCATGGAAGAGTTTTTCACTCCGGAACAAGCAGCCTCAACAAACATGGCGGCCGAGCCTTGAACTGCAACGCCAGGCGAATAACCAGGGAGCGCAGCTGCTTCGTCGGCCTGATGGGTGTGCCGACGCAAAATTCAGCCAACCAAACAGGAATCTCCCAAATAGGACTTGCTGCAGGATGCCAAGTGAGAACCGAGTGGAGTTTACATCTTCAACCAGCGAGCACCTCACTTCATTGACGTTCCCAGAAGTATTGATAGAATCCCATATTGCGAACCTATTCGGTGCTGAAAACTCTTGGACGTTTGTGAGCCTTTCTTCCGACGTTCATCAGCCTCTTGCTAACCGAACGTCCATGTCCCGATTACCCTAGAGTCCTTCAAGGATATATTCTAGAAATGCTGTCTTCATCGCCTATACACTGGCCTTCTTTCGCAACATTATTCTATTTGTTTGATGCTGCAGTTCGCCGACGGCTTGGAACTTTAGTGAAGCCACCTTAAAAACATATTGCCGTCAACGCTCACTCATCCTCAGCTGGAGAACAATTCAACATCCTGTTCACCTACGGGACAACAGCGGACATGGCTTTGTTCAACCAACGTTTTCACCCTCTAATGCATCTGCTGCAGAGGATCCTGCTTTTATATTTACTGTACAGAACCCCAAAGACCTGAACAGTTGTATCTCTTTCAGATCTCTCTCCCACGAATATGCCTCCAAACTTCTGTGAAAGCCGCGATAATATATCAATCTGCTAATCCTCATGGCTTTCGCCTGCTCAAGATCCGTCGGAGTATTGCAGCAAGAGGTATAGTCACCGGGTTATACCATACGCAAGTGTTACAAAATGTCCAATTTACAACAGCCAAAACTATTGGTAGCCTTAAAACATACACCATTCAGCTTGAGCTTTCACCCATAACCACTCCCCCTCGAGTATCACCAACTACGTCGGTGTGACAACCGCTCTGAATAAATCTTCAAAATAGGTCACACAATTCCTCTTTTTTAAATAGTTCCCATTCTTGTAGTCACTATCCCTGACAGAATAGGTAGTGGCCATCTCAGCACCAGATCTTTCGTCGACATACTCTTCCAGAATCGGCCCCTTAGTGGAAAATTGTTGTTGATTTATCCGTTACTTCAGGCAAAATATCAACCATGCATATTCCTTTCTCATGTAAGGCATTTTTTCCTTAAGCTTCGCGAAATCTTCCCATACTGAAGCGCAAACCAACAGCGGGGTAGCAGCCTCCACAGAATGACGCTCTGTCTTCAAGTGCTTCACGGTATTCACTCGCGCTAACCAGCCTATATCGTGTTCGTTTGTTTGTCATGGATTGTATTCGTGAAGGAAATCAGTACCCTCAAAAACCGCTGAATTGTCGAATTACTGTCAGTTATTTGCTGCGCACCGAATGCACAATTCTTTTTTGCAATACCATCGCGAGCGAAAAAATGTTTACGCCAAAATGTTGCACTTTGCCGCATGCCACTTTGCACATGCCAAAAATTATCCTAATCTAACGTCGTTTATGCGATTAGTTTTAATTACCCTCGCTTCTAAATTTTTGGAGCACGTTTGATTATGAAATTGCTGCGCTATGGCTCCGGAAGTGGCTTTACACGCGTTTGTTGAGAAATTGCGAGCTGCATCCTTTTGTCCTTTTTTGCTTTCGGGGCGTCAATTCAACACATAAAGCGCCACATCCATCAATAAAGAATTCAATGATTAGAGGCAAGTGCTGCTGCGTTAAGACTCAGAGTGTGCAACTGACGGCCTGCCTGTCGGTGGTCGGGATAACTGCATAGCAACCTAGCCGGCAGTCTGGGGACATAAACTTAGGTTTTTGTGGGCTGTCTGATCGGCAGAATACCACCAGTGGCCGCTGGTGTGCAACTGATCGCGAATCATATAACGTGAATCTTTGTGCTGGTGAACGTTCTGATCGGCACTACCAGTGGCCGCTGGTGTGCAACTGATCGCGAATCATATAACGTGAATCTTTGTGCTGGTGAACGTTGCCCGCCGTGCGGTGATACTCTTCAGGCTTGACCCACGGGTGCGTTCACAGAAGAGTTATATGCTTTTGGTTTTTAGTCCCGACTGGTCCAGAAAACGCAAAGGTGTACTTCTTACCCAGTCCGCCATGAGGACACCTTATGGTGTGAATCTTGACTGAAGTGCAGGATCTCGGCACGGTGCGTCCCGAAAGCCTGTGTGCATCCGTAGTTTAAGGTCCAAGGAGGGATTAATCGGTAGCCGTCAGTTAATATCTGACTAACGCCGTAGAGCTCTGGCCAGAGCAATTAGACGAAGATGATTGTATGTGACCTATCAGCCAATCGGACCTCATGAATTCAATGAAAATCGCGTATTTCTCGATGGTTATAATCAGTAGGCATGCAGAATAGCTGCTGAAGATGACGAGTTGTGAACACGCCTTTATGACATTGTAGCCAGTGAAGTGCCTCCCTTGTGGGGTAAGTAGTGTCCTCAGTTTGTCAGCCGCCCGCCCAATCTCCCCAAAACTGAAGTCAGTCACGGAGCTGTTCAGAAACCGGAGAACGCCAGTGCAATGACGGTACGGAGCTGCCATACCTCGTTTGATAGCACACCAACAACTATTCACTTAATACTCATTTAAGACTCACATACTCGATCCGCTACATGCAACTGTGAAAAACTCTTCACCAGTCTCAGACGCCTCCGGCATGCATTGATTTTAATCTGCTGGATCTTCCGCTCGGATGTCAACATCTAGTAGACATTTG